TACTCTGCATAAAAAGAAACGCAAAAGTAGAAAAGTAGCGTGTTGCCGACATCCATACAAATTTAATACCAAATATGAATTGGTCATTTCTGCATGGATTGGGATCGATTTGTGCGGAAAGAATGAGGTACTGCAGAAATTTGGAGCAAAGATGGTAAACACGCAAAAACATAACCACGTGAGAGCCTGGCGCCGACACACACCAACACAACATGCACGTGCAACATCACTTGTTGGGCTATGAGAAGCGTTCGGTTTTCATTTGCTTCCCATCACAATCTTACAGCAAGTGGAAAGCCAAAACATGCCCTGACAGACGGAAGCCCAACTCAACAACGCCTTCGGCCGACTGTAAACAGGAGAGTCATCTTCAGTTGTAGCCAAGTTCTTCCACGTCGCACCAAGCACCATTACAACACTGCGGAACCGTTATCAGACACACAGGACAACACGTGACCTTCCCAGATCCGGTTGATCACGTGTCACTACTAGAGCACAGGACAGATTCATACGGTTACGCCCTTTTCGTGAAAGAACCACCACGGCCACCTCTACAACTACGACAATACCAGGATTGCGTAGGGTATCAGCCCACACAGTGACGGCCGATGGCGCTGTTGCGTCTGTCAGATTTACGATTTTACGACTTTTGCGTTTCTTTTTTGCATATGTGATTGTGTTATCTTTCATCTGTATGGTTTATGTGTTTGTTATTTACTTGGTGTTGGCAAATTGACTACTGAAACCACTATGGATCTGGGAAATTCGAAGGTATGAACTATCATTACTATCCAAAAACGTTCATTATTATCTTACAAGAATAATCACAATCCTGAAAGTCAGCAGCGAGTGTAACCGCCCTGTGCCCTGATGACAGATTCTACCCTTCTCCTCATTCCTCCAGTGGGGGCGGTCGGGTAGCTTAGTGGTTAAAGCGTTCGCTCGTCCTGCCAAAGACCCGGGTTCGAATCCCGACATGGGTACAATGTGTGAAGCCCATTTCTGGTGTCCCTAACCGTGATATTGCTGGAATATTGCTAAAAGCTACGTAAAACCATACTCACTCACTCACTTATTCCTCCTGTGAGTCTTCTGGCACGATCAAGAGATAACTGCTGCCACTCCCGATGCAATGCAGCCTCTAACACTGTCACATCCTGAAGTGGTAGATCCATTACCTGCAGCCGACGTCCACGAATGTCCAAAACATGCTCCAATGGATTCAAACATGGTCTCATAGCAGGCCAAGGCAAAGTTCAGAAACGTGTCCTTGCAGAAATGCACTCAGAGCACGAGAACGATGGGGTCTAGCGTTGTCGTCCATAAACACAGGTCAAGTGGCAAGTGCATGATTGTCAAAATGTGGCACAACAACAGCATTGAGGATGTCTTGGATGAAGCAATCGCCGTTGAGATTGCCTCGTACTGTAACCATGTCCAGTTTACAAGCATGAGATATTGCTCCTTACACCACGACGGAGCATCCACCATACGGGATTGTCGGAACAATGTTTCCAGGGATGTACGCAGTGTTTCTCTGTCTCCAAGCCCGCATTATGTGACGTGCAAATCTCTTTTCGTCAGACCAGTGGATCCTTCGCCTCGGATTCCAATCTGGTGTACAGATGTCTGATGCGAAGCCATTGTTCTTTCGAAGAAAAGGGTTGTCGCCTCACAAGACATGCTAGAGTCCTGTACTCCCGACATTCATTCTATGAATGAGTATCATGAAACTTGATGTCTTATAAACGTGTACATCACTGTTTGATTTGTCAGGGAGTGCTCAATTAATTTCTAGGTGTATATTTTTGCAGTTAGTACATTATTTTAAAATATTATTTGATGGATAGCAATCTCTACAAACTGATCAGTAAATTGCACTAATATACGATAGACCACCTACTAATCTAATTAGCGTTAATTTACTAACTAGTTAGTAAAGTCTACTAACAGGTTAGTGTCAGAGTTGGCAGTGAAATTCACTAAGTTAGTAAACTTCACTGACTATTTGTGAGTGCATGTAGACATCAAAGACTGAAACCGCTGGAATATTTCACGACATATTTAGCGACAGCTGACTAAGGAACACAACTCTGCAGAGTTGCAAAGGACCAAAAATAAGTTCGTTATATCCGTCAGTTCGTTATGAGCATGTTCGTTATAAACGTAGTTTCCTGTAAGTATAAAGAACGTCAATTGTTCATTGTCCTCACAATACACCAGGACGATGACGTCACGCTGTTGTTGTTGTTGTTACATCTGAGCCACGAAGTCATTGGTAATTTGAAAACTTTGTATTTAGCCATGGCTCACTAAATACGTTTTTTCTTAATACAGGATATTTACCATCCCAAAACACACTCGGGTGATTAATTCCACATATTTGTAAATGTCAACATATAGGATCTCATTCGACATGTTTACATGGTAGACCAACGCAGTTGCGTCGTATCCGCGAAGAGAGGATAGGATAAACATCCTGGTCGATCACTCAGGGTGAGAATACCTCACGTCTAGCAGTCATGCATAAGTCAAGGTGGCCCAGTCGCTGTGCGTCACGTATTAACATGTTGCAACACTTCACTTTACCCGTGAAAATCCGGGTTAGAATTGGTCTTCAGCAACCCATGTTTGCCGTCATCTTCCCGAGGCAAGGGCGTTAACTGACTATAAAAGTCCAGTAACAACCCTTGCCGTACTAGGCTGGATATTTCAGGCTCGATCGTAGGGCCACCAGTGGCTATTATGTCCCTTCTATGTACCTCGTATTGACTAATCAGATTCCATCTCTCATAGCACTTGCATTTGCTTCAATCGAAATGGCGGCGCCAAGTCAAGACGATCTGATCGATAATCAATATCTATACTGAACCGCAAAAGAAACGTCACCATGGATAGACATATGATAAACTTTATTTGTCCCAACACTGTAAACATACTTTGAGACATATTAAAAAGATGAAACTTGGCAAAACTGATCATCAAGGTTGAAATTAAAGTGTCAAATGTTCTGAAAGTGAAACACAACACTAGTCTCTGAGAAAATGGCATCACAAGTCAGTATCCCGTGTGTCCGCCATGTGCATTGGTGACTGTCGTACAACGTCGATACATGGAAAGGCTGAGGCGGTTGATGAAAGCAATAGGCCCTTGAGCCCATACTCTGAGGAACGCCTGACGCAGTATAGCTGCAGTTGTCGGCCTTGGTCGGAGGTCATTCAGCCGTCTTTGAATCTCGTCCCACAGGTGCTCAATTGGATTTAAATCGGGACTGAGGGCAGGCCACTGCATGGTTCTGATGCCATTCTGCTGGGGGAAGTCTCTTGTTGCTCGCACAGTGTAGGCACGGGCGTTATCATGCTGAAACTCGTGGTTGCGGCGACGTGCGATCGAGCTCGAGTTGTTTCCGCAGCAGTTACAAAGCGATCTTAAAGATGCTGTCGCACAATCTAACGATCCTGACGTCGGGTGCTGTCCCTTGGTCTTCCACTACGTGGTCGGTCATCTGTAGTGTTGGTGGTCTGGTACCGTTGCTGGAGCCTGTGTATGGTCCTTACGTGGACTTGAAATACATTGCCTACTTGCCGGGCGCTTTGTCCAGCTTGCAATCGTCCAAGGGCTTGGTGTCGCTGATTTCTTGTCAATCTTGGCATGTGGTAGCAATTCAATAAGGAATGAATGTTATCCGATCTGGGTGGAATTTTATAGGGCAAGAAATGGGGGAACGCATGTGCATTTCAACTCACGTGCATCGGGTTACCAGGGCCGTTGATGTGATGCGTTTTGGCCATCGGTTTTATTGTCATCTGCTTTGTTTTTTTTATCATCAAGTTTCATTTTCAGGACAAGGTAATGTTAAATTTTAGAAACTTTGACAAAAATTACCCAGATATTTAAATGACACCTTTTCATGCAATGTTACTTGGGTGACGTGTCTTTTGCGGTTCAGTATATATTGAAATAAAACGGGTCTTACCCAGCGAAGCGCTTCAAATCTTTTGAGTATCTTGATTAAAAAGATAAACAATTTGCAAAATATCTGTCGACGCCCAGTTGGCGGTACACATGCTTTGCAAATCCTACAGTCGACCGAAATCTGTTGTTTTCTTAGCTGTAGGTTTTATTTATTATTCATGACATCCATAGTCCTTGTTTGAGAGGAACAAAATTGTAACTTAGCGATTTTAAAAAGGGAAATTGACCATATAGGTGTGTATCATCGACGTTGTTTACGAACCGGAAGTCTAGTTCGCGATTTTGATTGGACTATGTGCATACACTCGTTAGTCCAGCCAAAATGTAACTCCATAATTGCTGTCTTGTTCGGCATGGGTGGAAACTGGACTTTTAAAGTCAGTAAACTCCTTTGCCTCGGGAAGATGGCTTGCCGTAAAAGGCAACTATGCTTGTCGTAAGAGGCGACTAACGGGATCGGGTGGGCAGGTTCGCTAACGTGGTTGATGCATGTCATCGTATCCCAGTTACGCAGATCGATGCTCATGATGTCAATGCTTGTCTGGTCCAGACTCGATTATTTACAGACCGCGGTCATATAGCTGTAATATTGCTGAGTGCGGCGTTAAACAACAAACAAATAAACAAACAAACAAATCACCTCATTCAAAATATTTTAGCCATCCATCCCTTTACCATCCTTTGTCTAACAACGTACTATCCTTGCTCCTGACCTGGCCCACTTGCACAAAACGATCTTAGCGCTACGACTATTGTAAGCCCAAGTTAAAATTTGGCTGTCACAATCATCTTGACGCTAAGATCGCTTTGTGCAAGTGGGTCCAGTGGCATTAGTCATCTACATATTCTTACTCAGCTTAGCAGGTCGGGTTTCTTCTTGTCACCCGGGTTGTTTTCAAATCCAATTCCGTAATATTCCGATTATGGCCCTTGGTGGACCTTCGTACACTGGGACTCCAATGAGTCCCCGTGACGCTTCGTAGAGACTCACTGTTGAGACCCGACTCTCAATATTCACTTTGCAGCTCAGAAGCGCCAAAGAGAAAGGCTCTACAGAGGGTCCAGAAGGCCGAACAATCATATTTACCGAGCTTCTGGTAAAGGTCGTGGAGGAAAGGTCAGGGGTGATATGCTGCAGAACTTGCTGCCGTATGAGGCCGTGGAGAACGTTCCGGTGAAGGAAAGGATGGACGTGTCCTTGTGGCAAACCAGAGGGCAGGCGAAACCAAACCGACGTCGCCCAAAGAGATGGATCAAAGGTCAATTTCATCTGCAAATGCAAACAGGTCCCACAGAAACGGATCGTGAGTTTTCAAACGGTAGGATACGGAGGACTATGTATGCAAGAGTTGGAGGTGACAGGCTGGCGGGGGTGGGGGGTTGCAAAACTATGTAACTGGAGGTCAAAACAGCTAGCTACTGTTAGATGAGACCCGATGCAAAAGCCGGGGTCCGACCTTACGTTTCTTCTGATTATATTGGGGGAAAAATCTACTCCATTTAATCTTGTAAATAATAATTAGTTCCCAAAAGGTACAAAAAGGTTACTGAACATACTTAAATTTCTGTTTGTGTTTTGAGTTTTCAACATTTCTTTTACTTCCCCATTCAGACAAAAAGATCGCATGCCTCGGAACGCTGACTGAAAAAATATTCTTTCTCAAATAATAATCCAAACATATCGCTCCCTTGTGGTCCAGGGTCGTACTGCCCCTCTATTTTGTTGCTTTCTCTGTGTGGATGGACTCCCTCGGACTAACGTTTATTCTGATGGATATGTAATAAGGGATATGTTGTCATAATATAACAATGTTGTCATAACTACCGCATCTATCTATGTAGAGTTGTGCCCCCTTACATGCCATGATCTGGTGATAGTGGGTTCGAATCTCAGATATGCCCGAATCATAGTCTTTGGTCAGCGCCGTACTTGTGATCGTGGGTTTTGGCCAAATGTTAAACATGTAAAACCTGCGTCACTTTGAGCACCCATTCAACATTACGCTGATACGCTGTGGGTATAACTGAAATATCGTTCAAAGTGGCATTTCAAAAGAGTTATGTTAAAGTATAGTTTGACAACGCAAACAGGCAATTTTCATCGGTAGAGAGTGAGCGGCAACCTCGCCACTCGTGTAGAACTTTCATAGGGCAATCTCGTCAGTTCCGTATATGAATGTTGAATTTAATTTGCTATTGTAATATATTTTTTTAACAGATTATCGAAGTAAAACACACGAGTCCTACCTGACAGAGGCAAGACTTGGAAGACACGGTCTACCCTGGCCATTACCACGTCACTTCCGGTCGGACTCCAACATGGTTTATCAGCTGGATACTAACTTCCGGTTTGTTATTGGCCCGCTGTCTCGGTCGTGTGTCACGCTAACCAGGGCCCTGAGACGCTACTACGTCATCATTACGGGTCGACTACCCCGAAGACAATCAGTTGTCGTCAGAGATGAGGAAGAGTTCGAATCCCCGGTGGCACATGGCAACCCTGCTACTCTTCGCCACGTGGATGTATCAGTGCTGTACTCGTGTAGTGATGCGCATCCAGAACCCACAGCGAATGAAACATGTACGTAAAGGCAATGACGTCACCACAGTACAGTCAAACGACTTAATGGGCCCGTGAAGATCCGGGGTAGAATAGGTCTTCAGCAACCCATGCTTGCCGTAAGAGGCTACTATGACTGTCGCAAGAGGCGACTAACGGGATCGGGTGGTCAGGCTCGCTGACTTGGTTGATGCATGTCATCGATCCCAATTGTGTTGATCGATGCTCATGGTGTCAATCACTGGATTGTCTGGTCCAGACTCGATTTTTTACAGACCGCCGTCATATAGCTGGAACATTGCGGCGTTAAACAACAAACAAACAAACGACTTAATGGGGTGGGCAATTGTCTGTGCCTGCGGAGTTCTCTCTACAGTTGAATATCCTTAATCCGTATTATCCCTAATTATGAATTTTGGTCTGTCGGCTCCATTTCGTGCTCGTGGGTTTCTCGAAAGTATCAAAAGTCATGTTTAAAAGTATTTTTCATCTTTCTTTTTGCAAAGAGTGACAATTCAATAAAATAGCTTGCCCTAAGACTGTGGGTGTGCATTCTTTGTGGACGTCCCAGTCACTGTACTTGTATAGTCACAGAGTCACAGAATTCTTTAATTAAATGCCAATATAAAAAAAATTCATGTATTCAGATTGAAACGATTACATATTTTACTTTCCAAAGCTGTTATACCTGTTATATGTAAAGATATTTTGTCACATTTCAGACGCGTTACAGATTAACAACAACACAGCGTCCATCATTGCCGGTGAGGTCTGGGGAGCTTTGAGGGGCCTGGAGACCCTGTCTCAGCTGGTATATGTGTCAGAACACAGGCAGGTACATACAACAGCTCATAGTGAGCAGGTACATACTACAGCTCATAGTGTGCAGGTACATACTACAGCTCATAGTGTGCAGGTACATACTACAGCTCATGGTGTGCAGGTACATACTACAGCTCATAGTGAGCAGGTGCACACAACAGCTCATACTGTGCAGGTACATACTACAGCTCATAGTGTGCAGGTACACACAACAGCTCATAGTGTGCAGGTACATACTACAGCTCATAGTGAGTATGTACATACTACAGCTCATAGTGTGCAGGTACACACAACAGCTCATAGTGAGCAGGTACATACAACAGCTCATAGTGAGTATGTACATACTACAGCTCATAGTGTGCAGGTACACACAACAGCTCACAGTGAGCAGGTACACACAACAGCTCATAGTGAGCAGGTACATACAACAGCTCATAGTGAGCAGGTACACACAACAGCTCATAGTGAGCAGGTACATACAACAGCTCATAGTGAGCAGGTACACACAACAGCTCATAGTGAACAGGTACATACAACAGCTCATAGTGAGCAGGTACACACAACAGCTCATAGTGAGCAGGTACACACAACAGCTCATAGTGAGCAGGTACACACAACAGCTCATAGTGAGCAGGGACATACAACAGCTCATAGTGAGCAGGGACATACAACAGCTCATAGTGAGCAGGTACACACAACAGCTCATAGTGAGCAGGGACAAACAACAGCCCACCAGACTGAGTACACAAGAAGACCACCCGCAAGAGGATCGCAATCTGCGTACGTTACATCTGCGGAACCGATTCCCGACGGCGACGTCATCGGCGTTGAGTGTACGTCGCATCAGCAGAGCCGCAGTGTCAGACGATTACCTGCTACAAGAAGTCGGGCCTTCAGACCTGACCGCGGGTGGGTAGGGGGGTGGGGGGTGGGGGGGGGGGGGGGGGGTGGGGGGGATGGTTGGTTAAAGAAGTTGCTCTGTGATGCACCCGAGAGGTTCACCCTGTAAGAGGCGGTGGCGTCGTGATGTGGTTTCCGATTTCCTACATGGGTACAATGTGTGAAGCCCATTTCTGGTGTCCCCCGCCGTGATATGGCTGGAATATTGCTACAACCATCATCAAACCATACTCACTTTTCACTCATGATGTGGGACGGTGTTTGTGGTGGAGGAAGACACGTCTTGTCGTCATCCGTAGAAATTGGAACCCTCAATTCTATAGGCATGTCATTCTACAGACAGCTGTTATTTCCCTGCTCAGCAGACAGTCCCAAGGTAAAATGTTCCAACAGGACAATGTCCGGCCCCACACTGCTCACATTATCCTGAACTTTCTCAGCACCAAAAACGTACCCGTGTTGACCTGACCGTCACGCTCACCGACTCCCCCAATCGCTGTGAGGAGGCCATACAAGGTACTGATGTCATCGTCGAGGTGCTGTGGAAATGCTCAGCTTTGTGTAAACGTTACAGCTATGACCCCAGATGTGTTTGATTGCTTTTTGTTTATTCATCCCAACTTCCCAAGATCATATGAAATGTGCAATTTTCTCATTTTATAAGCAGTTCAAGTCGATGTACACTTACTTTTGATCAGTACTTACTTATTTATAGTATGACAAGGGATAGAGGGATGCTAGGCATACACTCATAGCCGTACACTCGACCCATGCAGATCCGGGGTGGAATTGGTCTTCAGCAACCCATGCTTGCCGTTTATAGGCGACTAACGGTATCGGGTTGTCAGGCTCGCTGACTTGGTTGATGCATGTCATCGTATTCCAGTTGCGTGGAACGATGCTCATGATGTCAATCACTGGGATGCCTGGTCCAGACTCTATTTTTTATAGAGTTTCGTCATGCAGCTGGATTACTGCTGAGTGCGGCGTTAAACAACAAACAAACAAACCGTACGCTCATAGCCGTACACTCATAGCCGTACACTCATAGCCGTACACTCATAACCGTACACTCATAGCCGTACACTCATAGCCGTACACTCATAGCCGTACACTCATTGCCGTACACTCATAGCCGTACACTCATAGCCGTTCACTCATAGCCGTACACTCATTGCCGTACACTCATATCCGTACACTCATTGCCGTACACTCATTGCCGTACACTCATTGCCGTACACTCATAGCCGTACACTCATAGAAGTAGACTCATAGCCGTACACTCAATGCCGTACACTCATTGCCGTACACTCATAGCCGTACACTCAATGCCGTACACTCAATGCCGTACACTCAATGCCGTACACTCAATGCCGTACACTCATTGCCGTACACTCATAGCCGTACACTCAATGCCGTACACTCATAGCCGTACACTCATAGCCGTACACTCATAGCCGTACACTCATAGCCGTACACTCATAGCCGTACACTCATTGCCGTACACTCATAGCCGTACACTCATTGCCGTACACTCATTGCCGTACACTCATAGCCGTACACTCATTGCCGTACACTCATAGCCGTACACTCATAGGCGCACACTCATAGCCGTACACTCATAGCCGTACACTCATAACCGTACACTCATTGCCGTACACTCATTGCCGTACACTCATAGCCGTACACTCATATCCGTACACTCGTAGCCGTACACTCATAGCCGTACACTCATAGCCGTACACTCATTGCCGTACACTCATAGCCGTACACTCATATCCGTACACTCATAGCCGTACACTCATAGCCGTACACTCATAGCCGTACACTCATTGCCGTACACTCAATGCCGTACACTCATTGCCGTACATTCATTGCCGTACACTCATAGCCGTACACTCATAGCCGTACACTCATTGCCGTACACTCATAGCCGTACACTCATTGCCGTACGCTCATAGCCGTACACTCATTGCCGTACACTCATAGCCGTACACTCATAGCCGTACACTCATAGCCGTACACTCATTGCCGTACACTCATAGCCGTACGCTAATTGCCGTACGCTCATTGCCGTACACTCATAGCCGTACACTCATTGCCGTACGCTCATAGCCGTACACTCATTGCCGTACACTCATAGCCGTACACCCATTGCCGTACACTCATAGCCGTACACTCATAGCCGTACACTCATTGCCGTACACTCATAGCCGTACACTCATAGCCGTACACTCATTGCCGTACACTCATAGCCGTACACTCATTGCCGTACACTCATAGCCGTACACTCATTGCCGTACACTCATAGCCGTACACTCATTGCCGTACACTCAATGCCGTACACTCAATGCCGTACGCTCATAGCCGTACGCTCATAGCCGTACACTCATAGCCGTACACTCATAGCCGTACACTCATAGCCCTACACTCATAGAAGTAGACTCATTGCCGTACACTCATTGCCGTACACTCATTGCCGTACACTCATAGCCGTACACTCATAGCCGTACACTCATAGCCGTACACTCATATCCGTACGCTCATAGCCGTACACTCATAGCCGTACACTCATAGCCGTACACTCATAGCCGTACACTCATTGCCGTACACTCATAGCCGTACACTCATAGCCGTACACTCATAGCCGTACACTCATTGCCGTACACTCATAGCCGTACACTCATAGCCGTACACTCATAGCCGTACACTCATTGCCGTACACTCATTGCCGTACACTCATAGCCGTACACTCATAGCCGTACACTCATAGCCCACAATTGTATGTTCCAGCCGTGTGTTCACATGGCCGACATCGTGGACTTCCCACGCTTCCACCACCGCGGCGTCATGATCAACACCGGTATCCACTTCCTCCACCCAACAACCATCAAGAAGAACCTGGTGAGATCAACACTACCATAAGTATCATCAATTTGTATGTGTCATGTATGCAATTCTTCGACCAGCCGCTATGGTCACCCAGTGCCATACATGTCTCCCTCGTGTCCTGGTAGTACAGGTGTCTACATTGTCACTGTCTTCTCCAGGAAGCAATGGATCACCGCTATGGTCACCCAGTGCCAACATGTCTATCTAGTGTCCTGGTAGTACAGGTGTCTATATTGTCACTGTCTTCTCCAGGAAGCAATGGAACACAACAAACTGAATGTCCTGCATTGGCGCTTAGTGGATGACCAGTCCTTTCCCTGGGTTAGCAAGGCCTACCCTGACCTCAGCAACAGGGTGAGTATCTCCATGTGACCTCAGCAACAGGGAGAGTATCTCCATCTGACCTCAGCAACAAAGTGAGTATCTCCATCAGACCTCAGCAACAGGGTGAGTATCTCCATCTGACCTAAGCAATAAAGTGAGTATCTCCATCTGACCTCAGCAACAAAGTGAGTATCTCCATGTGACCTCAGCAACAGAGTAAGTATCTCCATGTGACCTCAGCAACAAAGTGATTATCTCCATGTGACCTCAGCAACAGGGTGAGTATCTCCATGTGACCTCAGCAACAGGGTAATTACCTCCATGTGACCTCAGCAACAAAGTGAGTATCTCCATGTGACCTCAGCAACAGGGTGAGTATCTCCATGGGCAAGACCTACCCTACCCCCCTACCCTGATATCAAAAAGGTCAGCAAGTTACTACCCTGAAATCAGGATAAGAACAAGATATAAGATAAGAATAAGATAAGTATTATGTGTGTATTATAGAAAGTCCCAGCGCGTGAGAGCATGAAGCTAACATATGGAATACATCTGCGGTGGTAACTATATCGTTGTTTTATTTAAGAAATAAACGACGAGTGGGAGTTGTTTATCGTACAATTAAACACTGCAGGGAGATCCATTCCTATATGAGATATCAACAATATGTAACAGGCCCTTAAAGGATGTTGATAAAATGTACAAGCTTTAAAAATACTTAACCCTATTTATATAATGATGAGTCCTTCAATAGAATCCGACTTCGGTAACGTCGGACAAGTACATGTTATGCACAGGTGGGTATTTCCCGCATATTCTCACAATCCCCACGTTGATAAATCTTCCAATACCGATTGTCTCCCGGTTCTGGATGCGATCGTTCGGCCATCGCGTTTGTCTGCGTTGCCCTGCTACATCTATGGGGAACAACTCACTAGACACTCCTCCCTCAAAAATAACGTCATCAAACATATGACGTCATCAGGTTGCGAGCGCTTTTTAGAATCTCCAGAAATGAAGTCATGATAGAACAATGTTTCATTGTGAAAATAAACCTCGCTTCGTTCTTCATTGTTCTTTGCGATTTATCGCGTAGCTAGCTATCTTATATATTATAGTCACTATGACAGGTCTATAACGTACTGGCATTACGTTCCCCAGAGCTCCAAAAGGGAGACCTACAACGCTGCTGACATTGCGGGTATCGTGGAGTTCGCCCGACAGAGGGGTATCCGGGTAGTTCCTGAGCTCGACTCTCCAGGTAGGGAGCCAGTCCTTGTACAAGCCTTACTATGAAGCATGTGGAATTATCTGAGTGAGTTTGGTTTAACGCCGCTTGTAACAGTATTTCAGTTTTATCACGGCGAGATGTGGAGTGAGGCAGGTCTTGGAGGACGTTTACAGATTAGGTGAAACCCACGACTACGGATAAAGTGTTGACAAACCAAGACACATAATCAGGACGAACTGGGATTCGAACCTACGATCACAGTTTCTGACACGCCTTTATTGAAGGGATTGAACTTTGCACAGCGAATGACGGGGCCTTAGACGCTTTGATCTACACGTGGATCCGGGGTCACAGTGACCACAGGACTAGTAGTAGCGGAGTGAACCTTGTCTACATACTATATGTTGTACACTGCTGGGATAGAACTAATAAACCCTGTCCAAAACTTATCCCTGTCGCAATAAATCCTTCAGACATTCGGGCGGTGGGGTAGCCCAGTGGTCAAAGCGTTCGCTCGTCACGCCGAAGATCCGGGTTCGATTGCCCACATGGGTACAATGTGTAAAGTCCGTTTCTGGTGTCCCCCGCCATGATATTGCTGGAATATTGCTAAAAGCGGCGTAAAACCATATTCACTCCTTCAGACATTCAGCACCCTCATGTTCATCTTTGTATACATGTATAATATATATTATAATTAAATGTTTACACCGGACACTATCGATGTTATTTGCTCTGGACAATGCTGTCTTTGCGAATGAATAAATATTAAACGGTTTCGTTCGAAAATTCCAGGATGTTGTATGTGTGGTATAAATGGATTGAAACTTTGAACAATATTAAGACGAACGCAACAACGTAAGCCATGCTTGCCTAACCGTTCTCTTCTCGTCAAGGTCACACCGCCTCTTGGAGAAACGGCGTCCCCGACGTCATGATCAACTGCGCCGACAACAACTCTCAACAAGTGCTCGACGTCAGCATTAACATCACCTACACCGTGTTAAGAGGGTTGTGGGATGATATGCTCACAACGTTCCCGGGACGATATGTACATCTTGGAGGGGACGAGGTGCCCACGTTGTGTTGGTGAGTGTTGTTACCCACGTGTCTGTTACATGGACGCTGTGTACATCTCGGAGGGGACGAGGTGCCCACGTTGTATTGGTGAGTGTTGTTACCCACGTGTCTGTTACATGGACGCTGTGTACATCTGGGAGAGGACGGAGTGTTGTTACACACGTGTCTGTTACATGGACGCTGTGTACGTCTGGGAGGGGACGGAGTGTTGTTACACACGTGTCTGTTACATGAACGCTGTGTACGTCTGGGAGGGGACGGAGTGTTGTTACCCACGTGTCTGTTACATGGACGCTGTGTACATCTGGGAGGGGACGGAGTGTTGTTACACACGTGTCTGTTACATGAACGCTGTGTGCGTCTGGGAGGGGACGGAGTGTTGTTACACACGTGTCTGTTACATGAACGCTGTGTACGTCTGGGAGGGGACGGAGTGTTGTTACCCACGTGTCTGTTACATGGACGCTGTGTACGTCTGGTAGTGAGTGTTGTTACACACGTGTCTGTTACATGAACGCTGTGTACATCTGGGAGGGGACGGAGTGTTGTTACATGTGTGTCTGCTAGTGATGTGAATCCTTACACATCTAGGTGGAGACGAGTCGAGATGCCTCATGTTATCGACCATTGGTCGCTGTCATGTACTTGTGGTATTTCTGAAACAAGACTCTCACACTCTCACTCACTCACTCACTCACCCACACCTTCCTCAAGACGTACGTAGCACTTGTTATCAAACATAACGCTAACTATTTGTTCACAGGGCTAAATCCAAAGATGTCGCTATATTCATGGAAAGAGAAAAAATTAAAGATTACGGAGAATTGCAGAACTATTTCACCAGAAGGTAGGTGATCCACTCACGTGGTCCGTGGTTTCTGAAATACACGAGTAGGAGGCTAGGTGACTAGGAGGATCTACGATGTCATTTAATAAGAAGGATGTTGGAAGTATGTTTTGTTGCCCCCAACCCGAACTCTCTGTGGCAGTACAGCACATATATCTTGGCATGCGTCTAAAATATCACTAAAATATCTCACTAAAATATTTTAAATATTCATGTTACATGGATGGTATTAACGCTACTTGAGAATTGATATGTTTACATTCTCATGAATTAAAGTTGTAAACCTCTTAAATGTATCCTTTATCAATCAAAATCGTTACTGACATGTGTGGACCTAAGTCCCCAGGGCTAATAGGGGCACGGGTGACACAGTCACCTGATTCGTTGTGCAACTGACCCTCCATTTAAGTCTCAGCTAATCAATTTATATCCAGTGTACAAAACAAACTAATACGCACATCGATATGCACATTGAAACAACATTGGCATCCTGTTTGTAAGTGTTGGAAGTTGATGTTGATTCGTCGGTTACCTCCCCCTGCATGTCTCCGCCAGAGGGCGCTGCCAGCAACCGCAAACAGGTGGTGTCTGGTGTTACTAGACTGAGCTGTTGTCGCTCGCAGTTCCAAAACTCCAGTATCATCAATGCTCATTATAAGAGCACCACTTAAAACCAGCGAATTCATCTTAAACCGCCTACGATCATTAGAAGAATGTTTTGGCAAAGAACGCCAGACTATGACTCATGGTGTATGATGCAACAGATGACGATGCAGTCGCGTGACGTTCACGTCGCTCGCCGTCTGGGTCGAGTGTGGGCCGACATTTCCTGATACGCATGGCGGAGTGTTTGTGGACGTGAGTCAAAGATAACATCTCAACAACGTTCCCTTTTTAATTCTTTTTACTACAGTGGTTTTGAAAGGTGAAAAACAACATTTCCCGCATGCATTGATGTGAGAAAGAATGTTTCGCCTAAACTGTTTGTTGTTAGATAAACGTCTGGAAAACAGTCATGGCGTGTTTTAAAGAAGAGCTATTATTCTTCACGGTCCGTTGTCTCACTCAAGTCTAGTCCTAGGTCTGGACGTTGTAACTAGTGCCCAGATTGAAAGTTCATACCCGTTATGAAATCAAAGTAATCTTTATGTGCAAGATTAGTTAGACAAACGAAAGAGGCGTATGATCGACTTGAATAAAATTTGCCAGGGCTGCTAATTTAGCCGAGCCTTGTCTTCCATTCCCATGACGCCGTTACTATGACAACCTGTCTCTGGAACAAACATTTCTGGTTATTTCGACAAGGTGTCTTAGAAATCATAAGGTCGATGGTTTGAATCTCAACACACAATTGGAGCACACTTTATGTAACAGATACATTGACATGAGCAATAGGGTGTGGTTTGACGCCGCTCTGTAGCAATTTTCCAGCAATAGCACGGCAAGGGACACCATAAATGGGCTTCACACATGTACGCATGTTGGGAATTGAATCCGGATCTTTGACGTGACGAGCGAACGCTATAACCATTTGGCTACCCAATCGGCCCCATAAACATCAGGCCTTTACTCTGGTACGGGGACCCAGTCGTCTAAGGCGCCGCGATTCGCGGTAAAAGTCTGAGACCTGCATCGTTTGGGACTTTCCTCCCACATTAAGCTAACAGCCGCGATATAACTGGAATATTGATAAAAGCAGCGTTAAACCCAACTCACTCACTCACTCACTATTCTGGTAGGATATCTCTCTGCGTGAAGATAGTGACAGATAGGAGGTCGCGTCAGGTGAACTTTCCAATCAGCCAATCAGTATCGAGGCTTCTTCTCATACTAGTGGTCGAGGCATTCATACAAGCATATCTGAGTTCATAATCTCGAAAACGAACAGTTCCGAATGCAAAAAGTAAAGGCGCGCTATTATGTTGTTTACGTACTGTCGTTTCTGAGCACCATGGTATCTACAACCCAAGGGATGTGCCATTGAGGTTACATCTGGGTTCTTTGGCGGTTCTCGTTTGCTGAAGTTCGTAAAGAAATGAAATCGAATTTTTCCGACAGCTGTCATCTGGCCAACGTTCTCCAACTTCGATTGAGCGGTCAAAGGGATTCACACTTCTGCGAACTTTTGTGGCGGTGCTCTCCGGTCCACGCACAGGTGTCGGTGTTAAAGATCTCAGTTTAATTAAATTGGACTATCACTGATCCCGAGGAGCACATCCAAGGCCTTATCCCCGCTCCTTGCCCAAACCCACACACCAAAATTACTACTCAACAATACTTCTCTCAGACCTAAACTTACCTCGGGTTCGATTCCCCACATTGGAACGACCGCCTCCGTGGACTAGTGGTACAGCGTTCGTCCGTTGAGTGGACGGTTCGGGGTTCGATCCCCGGCCGCGTCATACCAAAATACGTTAAACGATTTTATTTGTTGATACCCTGTCTGGTGCTCGGCATTAAGGGGTTAAAACAAGGACTGGTCGGCTCGGAGTCAGTATACTGTGTCTGAGTGGGGTATTCTTGTTAAACTGCGGCATGGTATCTCACTGTGCTAGCACTATAAATCGGCATGAGTCCGGACTAGTACAAGCAGCCACACTCACACGTGCTTGACGTCGCTATATAAGTGCAATAATCTTGGACGCGACGTCAAACCCCATTTCACCTCGCCTCACCCACATGGGTACAATGTGTGAAGCCCATTTCTAGTGTCCCTCGCCATGATATTGCTGGAATATTGCTAAAAGCGGCGTAAAACCGAACTCACTTACTCACCCAACCTAACGTCTGTTCGAGCAAACCACCTTTTCACCAATCCTCGCCTGATGACGCTGTTAGTGGAATTTCTGTGTTTACCAATATGACTATACATCTGTTGTGGTGGCCAAGTTTTCTTGCCTTGTTATCAAGTCATTGTCTGTTCCAGATTATCAAGCATTGTAAATCAGCTAGACAGCAACAGGAAGCTTGTGTTCTGGCAAGATGTACTGGACAGTGGAATCAGTGTACGTACGTTACGTGTAGATGTGAAACAGTGAAACAATAGTGTGCATATGTTACGTACGGGTGTCAGCGAGTGTTGGACGGTAGACACAAGTGTACGTACGTGACGTGTGGATGTCAGCACGTACTAGACAGTCGGTCCAAGTGTACGTACGTTACGTATGGATATCAGTGAGTGCTGGACGGTAGACACGAGTGTACGTACGTGACGTATGGATGTCAGCACGTACTAGACTGTCAACCCATGTGTACGTACGTTATGGATGGATGTCAGCGAGTGTTGGTCGGTAGACACAAGTGTACGTACGTGACGTATAGATGTCAGCACGTACTAGACAGTCGACCCAAGTGTACGTATGTGACGTATGGATGTCAGCATGTACTAGACAGTCGACCCAAGTGTACGTATGTGACGTATGGATGTCAGCATGTACTAGACAGTCGACCCAAGTGTACGTACGTGACGTATGGATGTCAGCATGTACTAGACAGTCGACCCAAGTGTACGTATGTGACGTATGGATGTCAGCATGTACTAGACAGTCGACCCAAGTGTACGTACGTTATGGATGGATGTCAGCATGTACTAGACAGTCGACCCAAGTGTACGTATGTGACGTATGGGTGTCAGCATGTACTAGACAGTCGACCCAAGTTTACGTACGTGACGTATGGGTGTCAGCGAGTGTTGGTCGGTAGACACAAGTGTACGTACGTGACGTATGGATGTCAGCATGTACTAGACAGTCGACCCAAATGTACGTATGTGACGTATGGATGTCAGCATGTACTAGACAGTCCACCCAAGTGTACGTACGTGACGTATGGATGTCAGCACATACTAGACAGTCGACCAAAGTGTACGTATGTGACGTATGGATGTCAGCATGTACTAGACAGTCGACCCAAGTGTACGTATGTGACGTATGGATGTCAGCATGTACTAGACAGTCGACCCAAGTGTACGTACGTTATGGATGGATGTCAGCATGTACTAGACAGTCGACCCAAGTGTACGTACGTGACGTATGGATGTCAGCATGTACTAGACAGTCGACCCAAGTGTACGTATGTGACGTATGGATGTCAGCATGTACTAGACAGTCGACCCAAGTGTACGTATGTGACGTATGGATGTCAGCATGTACTAGACAGTCGACCCAAGTGTACGTACGTTATGGATGGATGTCAGCATGTACTAGACAGTCGACCCAAGAGTACGTATGTGACGTATGGATGTCAGCATGTACTAGACAGTCGACCCAAGTGTACGTATGTAACGTATGGGTGTCAGCATGTACTAGACAGTCGACCCAAGTGTACGTACGTGACGTATGGGTGTCAGCGAGTGTTGGTCGGTAGACACAAGTGTACGTACGTGACGTATGGATGTCAGCATGTACTAGACAGTCGACCCAAGTGTACGTATGTGACGTATGGATGTCAGCACGTACTAGACAGTCGACCCAAGTGTACGTATGTGACGTATGGATGTCAGCATGTACTAGACAGTCGACCCAAGTGTACATATGTGACGTATGGGTGTCAGCATGTACTAGACAGTCGACCCAAGTGTACGTACGTGACGTATGGGTGTCAGCGAGTGTTGGTCGGTAGACACAAGTGTACGTACGTGACGTATGGATGTCAGCATGTACTAGACAGTCGACCCAAGTGTACGTATGTGACGTATGGGTGTCAGCATGTACTAGACAGTCGACCCAAGTTTACGTACGTGACGTATGGGTGTCAGCGAGTGTTGGTCGGTAGACACAAGTGTACGTACGTGACGTATGGATGTCAGCATGTACTAGACAGTCGACCCAAATGTACGTATGTGACGTATGGATGTCAGCATGTACTAGACAGTCCACCCAAGTGTACGTACGTGACGTATGGATGTCAGCACATACTAGACAGTCGACCAAAGTGTACGTATGTGACGTATGGATGTCAGCATGTACTAGACAGTCGACCCAAGTGTACGTATGTGACGTATGGATGTCAGCATGTACTAGACAGTCGACCCAAGTGTACGTACGTTATGGATGGATGTCAGCATGTACTAGACAGTCGACCCAAGTGTACGTACGTGACGTATGGATGTCAGCATGTACTAGACAGTCGACCCAAGTGTACGTATGTAACGTATGGGTGTCAGCATGTACTAGACAGTCGACCCAAGTGTACGTACGTGACGTATGGGTGTCAGCGAGTGTTGGTCGGTAGACACAAGTTCACGTACGTGACGTATGGATGCCAGCATGTACTAGACAGTCGACCCAAGTGTACGTATGTGACGTATGGATTTCAGCATGTACTAGACAGTCGACCCAAGTGTACGTATGTGACGTATGGGTGTCAGCATGTACTAGACAGTCGACCCAAGTGTACGTACGTGACGTATGGGTGTCAGCGAGTGTTGGTCGGTAGACACAAGTGTACGTACGTGACGTATGGATGTCAGCATGTACTAGACAGTCGACCCAAGTGTACGTATGTGACGTATGGATGTCAGCATGTACTAGACAGTCGACCCAAGTGTACGTATGTGACGTATGGATGTCAGCACGTACTAGACAGTCGACCCAAGTGTACGTATGTGACGTATGGATGTCAGCATGTACTAGACAGTCGACCCAAGTGTACGTATGTGACGTATGGATGTCAGCATGTACTAGACAGTCGACCCAAGTGTACGTACGTTATGGATGGATGTCAGCATGTACTAGACAGTCGACCCAAGAGTACGTATGTGACGTATGGATGTCAGCATGTACTAGACAGTCGACCCAAGTGTACGTATGTAACGTATGGGTGTCAGCATGTACTAGACAGTCGACCCAAGTGTACGTACGTGACGTATGGGTGTCAGCGAGTGTTGGTCGGTAGACACAAGTGTACATATGTGACGTATGGGTGTCAGCATGTACTAGACAGTCGACCCAAGTGTACGTACGTGACGTATGGGTGTCAGCGAGTGTTGGTCGGTAGACACAAGTGTACGTACGTGACGTATGGATGTCAGCATGTACTAGACAGTCGACCCAAGTGTACGTATGTGACGTATGGATGTCAGCATGTACTAGACAGTCGACCCAAGTGTACGTATGTGACGTATGGATGTCAGCACGTACTAGACAGTCGACCCAAGTGTACGTATGTGACGTATGGATGTCAGCACGTACTAGACAGTCGACCAAAGTGTACGTATGTGACGTATGGATGTCAGCATGTACTAGACAGTCGACCCAAGTGTACGTACGTTATGGATGGATGTCAGCATGTACTAGACAGTCGACCCAAGAGTACGTACGTGACGTATGGATGTCAGCATGTACTAGACAGTCGACCCAAGTGTACGTATGTAACGTTTGGGTGTCAGCATGTACTAGACAGTCGACCCAAGTGTACGTACGTGACGTATGGGTGTCAGCGAGTGTTGGTCGGTAGACACAAGTGTACGTACGTGACGTATGGATGTCAGCACGTACTAGACAGTCGACCCAAGTGTACGTATGTGACGTATGGATGTCAGCACGTACTAGACAGTCGACCAAAGTGTACGTATGTGACGTATGGATGTCAGCATGTACTAGAGAGTCGACCCAAGTGTACGTTTGTGACGTATTGATGTCAGCATGTACTAGACAGTCGACCCAAGTGTACATATGTGACGTATGGATGTCAGCATGTACTAGACAGTCGACCCAAGTGTACGTATGTGACGTATGGTTGTCACCGAGTGTTGGTCGGTAGACACAAGTGTACGTACGTGACGTATGGTTGTCAGCATATACTAGACAGTCGACCCAAGTGTACGTATGTGACGTATGGGTGTCAGCGAGTGTTGGACGGTAGACACAAGTGAATGTACGTGACGTATGGATGTCAGCACGTACAAGACAGTCGACTCAAGTGTGCGTACGTGACGTGTGGAAGTCAGCACGTACTAGACAGTCGACCCAAGTGTACGTATGTGACGTGTGAATGACAGCGAGTGCTAAACGGACGACACAAGTGTACGTGTGTTACGTGTGGATGTCAGCGAATGCTGGACGGACGACACAAGTGTACGTTTGTTACGTATGGATGTCAGCGAATGCTTGACGGACGACACAAGTGTACGTACGTGACGTATTGATGTCAGCGAGTGCTTGACGGACGACACAAGTGTACGTTTGTTACGTATGGATGTCAGCGAATGCTTGACGGACGACACAAGTGTACGTACGTGACGTATGGATGTCAGCGAGTGATGGACGGACGACACAAGTGTACGTACGTGACGTATGGATGTCAGCGAGTGGTAAACGGACGATACAAGTGTACGTGTGTTACGTGTGGATGTCAGCGAATGCTTGACGGACGACACAAGTGTACGTACGTGACGTATGGATGTCAGCGAGTGATGGACGGACGACACAAGTGTACGTACGTGACGTATGGATGTCAGCGAGTGATGGAAGGACGACACAAGTGTACGTACGTGACGTATGGATGTCAGCGAGTGCTAGACGGACGGCACAAGTGTACGTGTGTTACGTGTGGATGTCAGCGAGTGATGGACGGACGACACAAGTGTACGTACGTGACGTATGGATGTCAGCGAGTGATGGACGGACGACACAAGTGTACGTACGTGACGTATGGATGTCAGCGAGTGCTAGATGGACGACACAAGTGTACGTGTGTTACGTGTGGATGTCAGCGAGTGCTAGATGGACGACACAAGTGTACGTACGTTACGTGTGGATGTCAGCAAGTGCTGGACGGACGACACAAGTGTACGTACGTTACGTGTGGATGTCAGCGAGTGCTAGATGGACGACATAAGTGTACGTGTGTTACGTGTGGATGTCAGCGAGTGCTAGATGGACGACACAAGTGTACGTGTGTTACGTGTGGATGTCAGCGAGTGCTAGATGGACGACACAAGTGTACGTACGTGACGCATGGATGTCAGCGAGTGCTGGACGGACGACACAAGTGTACGTACGTTACGTGTGGATGTCAGCGAGTGCTAGACGGACGACACAAGTGTACGTACGTGACGTATGGATGTCAGCGAGTGCTAGATGGACGACACAAGTGTACGTACGTGACGTATGGATGTCAGCGAGTGCTAGACGGACGACACAAGTGTACGTACGTGACGTATGGATGTCAGCGAGTGCTAGACGGAAGACACAAGTGTACGTACGTGACGTATGGATGTCAGCGAGTGCTAGACGGACGACACAAGTGTACGTACGTGACGTATGGATGTCAGCGAGTGCTAGACGGACGACACAAGTGTACGTGTGTTCCGTGTGGATACATGAATGTCAGTGAATGAAGGCCAAGGGTGATCCCATTACTTCTGTATCATTACACCAATACCACATGGGGCGAGGTCTCTTTAAACGTGTTCCTCATGTTATATCTGTGGAGAATCGAACCTGTGGATGAATACACACACAAAGCCGTTCGATTGTTCGGCGTCAAGTCGTACTGGGAAGCGTTACCAAAGGATAAAGAGGCTTCATTTAGTGTCCAACAGTGTGACTGTTACGTCATGATAAAACGTTAGGCAGATCAGTAGAAAACTCGACTTTCCTGAAGCTACCTCAGTTGGATTCTGGTGTCCCTAGCAGTGGTTACCGTATCCGTCATCCGTTCGTACGGGTCCTCACCACGGGTGTTCACTACGGTTGTTCAATATGATTTTTCACAATGGGTCTTCACAACGGGTCTTCACCACGGGTGTTCACTACCGCTGTTCACTACGGTTGTTCATGACTGGTCTTCACTACGGTTCTTCACTGCAGCTGTTCACTACGGGTATTCACTATGGGTGTTCATTACGGGTCTTTACTATGGGTCTTCACTACGGGTGTTCACAACGGGTATTCGCTACAGCTGTTCACTATGGGTCTTTACAACGGTTGTTTACTACGGGTGTTCACTATGGCTGTTCACTGCGGGTCTTCACTACGGGTCTTTACTACGGTTGTTCACTACAGGTCTTCACTACGGCTGTTCACAACCGGTCTTTACAACGGGTCTTCCCTACAGTTGTTCACTGCGGTTGTTAGCTATGGGTCTTCACTTCGGGTGTTCACTATGGGTCTTCTCTACGACTGTTCACAACGGGTCTTCACTATGGTTGTTAACTATGGGTGTTCACTACGGATATTCACTACGCTACGGGTCTTCACTACGGGTATTCATTCCGCTACGGGTGTTCACTACGGGTATTCACTACGCTACGGGTCTTCACTACGGGTTTTCACTATGCTATGGGTGTTCACTGCGGTTGTTAACTACGGTTGTTCACTACGGTTGTTAACTACGGTTGTTCACTACGGGTCTTCATTACGGGTCTTCACTACGGGTCTTCACTACAGGTGTCCACTATGGTTATTTTCACTATGGGTCTTCACTACGGTTGTTCACAATTGGTCTTCACTACGGTTGTTCACTACAGCTTTTCACTACGGGTCTTCACTATGCTACGGGTCTTCACTCCGGGTCTTCACTACGGGTCTTCACTACGGGTTTTCACTTCGGGTCTTCAATTCGCTACGGGTCTTCACAACGGTTGTTCTGTATGGGACTTCACTACGGTTGTTCACTTTGGTTGTTCACTACGGGTCTTCACTGCGTTTGTTCACTACGGTTGTTCACTATGGGTCTTCAGTACGGGTGTTCACTACAGGTATTCACTACGCTACGGATGTTCACTACGGGTCTTCACTACGCTTCGGGTCTTCATTACGGGTCTTCACTACGGGTCTTCACTGCTCCTGTTGGGGTACAATAGCCCAGTCATCTTAGACAACCCTATTCGCTCGGTGAAGTTGTATTCTTTCAGTGTGCCAGAAACTGATCGTGGGTTCGAATCCCAGCTTCCCCCGATCATGCTTCTAGGTCTGTCAGCACCAAACCTGTGCTGTTTGGTTCTCTGAAAGTGGTAAACGTCTTAGACCTGCATCACCTCCCACACCAAGCTGACACCCCGTGATACAACTGGAATACTGTTCAAAGCGGCATAAAACACAATGCACGCACTCTGAAGTCGAGATATGACGCCTCTTGTCTTCTTACGTGTTTGTTGCGCAATACACCCTTTGTATTCAAAGCAACGCTAAACCAAACTCGATCAATCGCTCACTCTATGCTCCTGAAATATTCGGTGCTGATGAAGTCTTTGACCCTACAAATATGGCTTCCTAGTAATAAAATTGTTTGTTCTTTAACGCTGCACTCAGCAATATTCCAGCTATATGACGGCGGTCTGTAAATAATTGTGATTTACATCATGAGGATCGATCTACGCAATTGAGATAGATTATATGCATCAAACACGTCAGCGAGCCTGACCACCCGATCCCGTTAGTTGCCTCTTACGACAAGCATGGGTTGCTGAAGACCTATTCTACCCCGGATCTTCACGGGCTTTTAGTAGTAAAGATAAGTAGTTGCGTTAGTAGACTATATTGTATAGACTTACAACTGGGGTTCGTATCCCATTTGTGTCCCGAGTGCCTGTAGTCGCTGAGTGTCATTTCTACATTTTTGCATCTTTTCTTTCATTCAGATAGATGAACGAGCCGTAATTCAAATATGGAAACCGAATCCTAAGGCCGCCACGACTTTAGCGGTCAGCAGAGGCCATAGGGTCATCTACTCAAGTCCGTGGTGTCTGAACTACGTCACATCCGGTATGGACTGGGCGATGCTCTACTTAGCCGATCCCCTGGAACACACAGGTCAGTAGGTGCATATTTTACATCCCTAGAACACACAGGTCAGTAGGTGCATATTTTACATCCCGAGAACACACAGGTCAGTAGGTGCATATTTTACATCCCGAGAACACACAGGTCAGTAGGTGCATATTTTACATCCCTAGAACACACAGGTCAGTAGGTGCATATTTTACATCCCGAGAACACATAGGTCAGTAGGTGCATATTTTACATCCCGAGAACACACAGGTCAGTAGGTGCATATTTTACATCCCCTGAACGCACAGGTCAGTGGGTGCGTATTGTACATCCCCGTAACGCACAGTGGGTTGATAGATGTAGGAGGGCGCGGAGTCATCCCACAGATGACATCCTTACCTTGTCAGCTTGCTGTCGGGGTTAACCTCTTTGGTCATGTGGACAAGGCGTCCGACCTGTGATCAGAAGGTCCGTGGTTCGAATCCAATCACGGGACTCTGAAATTCTATGGCCGCAACATTGGCGCCCAAAGTGGGGCTGAGCATGTTCATATTAAATTTGTACAAAATAAGCCTCAGTACCCTACTATGCGGCCCGGGACGTGCCTTCTGTTGACAGGGGAGTATGTAGCAGGGCATGGAGTCATCCCACAAATGACCTCCTAACATTGTCAGCTTGCTGACGGGGTTAACCTCTTTGGCCATGTGGACAAGGCGTCCGACCTCGGATCAGAAGGTCCGTGGTTCGAATCCCAACAGGGGACTCGGAAATGTTATGGCCGCTACAAAGATATGCGCACAGACTTACAGGACAATTTGAGAGGAGGTGATTTGAAATGGTGTGCATGCACGTGCAGGTGTGCTTGCAGATGCTTGCACTAAACCGGACTTCAGTGCGTGAGTGCGTGCGCACGTACCAGTCCTGACAAATGCCGGGTTTAAAGTGCGAAGCCCACGGAGACACCATGCAGCATTTTACATTGGATACCCCACTCGGTATACTGAGTACCAGTCCTTGTTTTCTCACCAGTGCCAGATAGGTAACAAGCACTATCGTTTCAGGTATTTTAGTATGACCCGACCAGGGCATCGAGCCACCAACCTCCCGCTCCCCGGGCAAACGTTCAATCCACTAGACCACGGAGCCGGCCACATTGTTTTTGTTTTTTGTTTTGATTGATTGTTGTTTAACGCCCCACTCAGCAATAGTCCAGTCATATGACGGCGGTCTGTAAATAATCGAGTCTGGACCAGACAGTTCTGTTGTCTCGATCCATGCAATTGGGATACAATCACATGCATTAACCAAGTCATCGCCTGGCCACCCGATCCCTCTGTCGCCTCTTTCGCCTCACTGGATTGTCTGGTCCAGACTCGATTATTTACAGACCGCCGTCATATAGCTGGAATATTGCTGAGTGCGACGTAAACAACAACAAACAAACAAACAAACACACACACCACCGTATTGTTACAGAATCCCTCATCTTCCTTTGTTTCACTGGTTGTTGTTGTTTTTGTTGTTTTTGTAGTTGACATCAGCTACACAACACACTGAAATAGTCCTTAACAGACCGTTTCCTGCCGGTTGTTATCACGTGCGTGACAGAGGCACTATTGTCTGTACTGGAACGTCGCAGGCAAACAATGGTGTCTGACAATGTCGAAGTTGTAATCCATAAGCTCACGCTGTCTTCAGTCCCAATAACGGTGTATTGCGCAGTACACAGGTCAGAGGACAACACAGCCCATATCCTCGCTTCAGAGTGAGTTGGTTTAACACCACTTTAATGTCATGACTGTCACATTGATGTGAGCGGAAAGCCCGTTTACAACTGACGTGAAACACGGGTATGGTGCTGACAAACCAAGAAACATAATGAGATTCGAACTATGGCCAAGGGTTTTAGTATCCAAGGGACGAAACTCTACCTTTTATGTGTGTTTGTTGTTTAACGCCGCACTCTAACTTTATGACTTGACCTTAGTCTCTTCATATAAAAACGAGGCATGGTGGAGTACTGTCATAAATGTGATTGTTCGGGGTCGCAATCTGCGAAATCACAACGCACTTCACATCAATGCCAAACATCGGAAGTGTATGAAGAAAACATAGTCCCTCTGGAATATTCCCCGATAGAAACCTATTTCCGGATACGTACTGCCCCAACAAAAGCAATAACCGTGGATAATGTTGAATGTGAAACACTGACGAGAGACAAGCCGTATTGTTTATATAAAGAAAACAAGTCAGTGTATCACCAAGTCCGGGAGATCCGGGAACGGGGCCTCTACTGTCTGCACTTCCTGAACTCCGCGCATCATGTGTGCTGCGTGACCCATTGCATGCCGGGTCAATAAGACTTACCACTGCGCATTGATACATTCAGCAGCCATCACGGCTCGGATAAAAAAAAGATATTTTGGTAACATTTCATGCTTATTTATTTCTTTAGCAGATGTTGTCGACATATCGGAGTTAATCATACCCGCTGAACTCCCTTGGCGGTCTTCTGTGGCCGGATGTTGCTATCTCCAACAGGAATTCAGTTATTCCGAACAACGGGTCTTTATCTGAAGGGGGCGTTGTTCTTGCAGGAGAGGTGCACGGGCAGGAGTAGAAACTGACATCCACATTCTTTCCATTGTGTGCAACATGTGTGCTGTATGTTTGTTGTATGAAGACGTGGGCGTTTGGCGCCCAAACCTGCCGAAAAGTTGGTATTATTACGTGACGATATGTTTGAGAAAAGAAAAGGCCAAAAGAAGAACGAAAAAAGTATTTTTTTCACAATTGTTTCTTAAAAACACAGTACCTACTTCGCGAAAGAATTTCTTCCAATGTCTGACAGTGCCTTGTAGAGCGAATGGGTTTCAGCTCCCCTCATTGATTTCAATACAGATTCCGGATTTCAGTGTAGCGTTTGAAAGTACCAACATACAGTGTTGGTACAAGAACACTGTATATCATTACCGGGTGCCCTACATGTTACATATCACAATGTATATTACCGGGTGCCCTACATGTTACATATCACAATGTATATTACCGGGTGCCCTACACGTTATATATCGCAATGTATATTTCCGGGTGCCCTACATGTTACACATCTCCGTGTATATTTCCGGGTGCCCTACATGTTACACATCTCCGTGTATATTATCGGGTGCCCTACATGTTACACATCTCCGTGTATATTACCCGGTGCCCTACATGTTACACATCTCCGTGTATATTATCGGGTGCCCTACATGTTACACATCTACGTGTATATTATCGGGTGCCCTACATGTTACACATCTACGTGTATATTATCGGGTGCCCTACATGTTACACATCTCCGTGTATATTATCGGGTGCCCTACATGTTACACATCTACGTGTATATTATCTGGTGCCCTACATGTTACACATCTCCGTGTATATTATCTGGTGCCCTACATGTTACACATCTCCGTGTATATTATCGGGTGCCCCACATGTTACACATCTCCGTGTATATTATCTGGTGCCCCACATGTTACACATCTCCGTGTATATTATCGGGTGCCCCACATGTTACACATCTCCGTGTATATTATCTGGTGCCCCACATGTTACACATCTCCGTGTATATTATCGGGTGCCCTACATGTAACACATCTCCGTGTATATTATCGGGTGCCCTACATGTTACACATCTCCGTGTATATTATCGGGTGCCCTACATGTTACACATCTACGTGTATATTATCGGGTGCCGCAGGTTACTAATGTATAACGTTCTGCCTCGAGGTACTCACATGTTCTGACTTTGGTTGTAGTTGGTGCCACTGAAGAGGAGGTGGTGATGGGTGGGGAGGCCTGCGTCTCGGGGGAACACGCGGTGGACTCCAGCCTTCTACAGACGGTGTGGTGAGTGACGGCAGGTGGTATAGCCATGACATATCTCCTCACCCGACCTCAAGATAGGATAGGTCCAAATATCCACGTCATATCTCCTCACCCGACCTCAAGATGGGATAGGTCAAAATATCTACGTCATCTTCCCTCACCCGACCTCAATATAGGATAGGTCCAAATATCCACGTCATATCTCCTCACCCGACCTCAAGATGGGATAGGTCCAAATATCCACGTCATATCTCCTCACCCGACCTCAAGATGGGATAGGTCAAAATATCCACGTCATATCTCCTCACCCGACCTTAAGATAGGATAGGTCCCAATACCCACGTTATATCTCCTCACCCACCTCAAGTTCGGATAAGTCGAAATATCCACGTCATATCTCCTCACCCGACCGTAAGTTCGGATAAGTCGAAATATCCACGTCATATCTCCTCACCCGACCTCAAGTTAGGATAAGTCGAAATATCCACATCATATCTCCTCACCCACCTCAAGTTCGGATAAGTCGAAATATCCACGTCATATCTCCTCACCCGACCTCGTTCGGATAAGTCGAAATATCCACGTCATATCTCCTCACCCCACCTCAAGTTCGGATAAGTCGAAATATCCACGTCATATCTCCTCACCCCACCTCAAGTTCGGATAAGTCGAAATATCCACTGTACATATGGCTAGGCCAGGCTGACCAGTGCTTGGAAGTATAAACAGCGATGGTCACTATCGGGACATGATGACGCCAATCTCCCACGTCAAGGAGTCTAACCTTCTCTCGGGTTTTGGTATAAGCATAGGTGTAGGCAAATGAATAAAGTGTTCGCTCGTCACGCCGGAGACCCGGGTTCGATTCCCAACATGGTTACAATTTTTTAAGCCCATTTTTTGTGTCCCCCGCCGTGACATTGCTGAAATATTGCCAAAAGCGACGTAAAACCAACTAACCAACCCTCACTCACTCACTCACTCACTCACTCACTCATTCACTTTTAGAACTCCTCTCTGCACAATTGACGTCTCAGTGACCCAACAGGCATTTCTTCTTCCAAATGTTTATTCTTTCCATATGTCCCCGGCATGTAGGTCCCGTGCCAGTGCCATGGCGGAGCGGATGTGGAGCGACCGCAACGTCAGGAATGTACCGGAAGCGCAAGTCCGTCTGGAGGAACAACGGTGTCGCATGATAAGGTCAGCTGTACACGTGACCCACATGAGTGACCAGTCATAGGGGTGTTAGTCAGTGTCAACTGACCTGTACTCGACAGTCAATCTGTCCCCGAGCGACAGTCTAACATCCCCACTCTCCACAACGTCTACTACAGAATGTCAGCTTGTTTCCCACAAGGCTCTAATAACGCAGATCATATGACCGTCTGCAATAAAGTCAGCAATAAAAATGTTTAAAATCCTTATACAACAACAAAAAATGATATGGGTGCAGATTTTGCAATATTAAAACAAGTATTGATACACTTATTCCAGAACAAAATACAAGTTCTGTTTTGTAAATCAATACTAGGAGTAGGCAGGGAAACACATAACTGGGCCTGTCATGCAGAACTTGGAGTATACCAACTGCTAGTACCAATAATAAAGAAATGAGTCCTATTTAGATAACTCAACAAATGTCATTCTTAAACATGCTTTGGAAGCAAATATCAACCTTTCTTGTCAAAACGTTGGCTGGGTTCATAAATTCAATAAAATACAACAAACGTTTGAAGTAGTGAACACATAAAATAGTAATAAATCCACTGTAAATAAACTCCAAATGTCAAGACAAAGTCAAGGATTCATTAAGAGAAAACAACCCCGCTTGAACGACGTCGCTGTGAAACGTAATGTCGTAGAAGATGAGCAACACTATGCAATATCCTGTATAAAATATAATCAAGAAAGAGAATCGCTTCTACAAATAATGCTCAATCATAATACAGAATTTGGTACGCTCAACTTGGTGCCAACAGTCATCATCTTGACGTCGATACAAGTATATAGGTATTTAGTAGCAGAGCTACCGTGAAGACCCGGGATAGAATAGGTCTTCAGCAACCCATGCTTGCCGTAAAAGGCGACTATACTTGTCGTAAGAGGTGACTAACGGGATCGGGTGACTTGGTTTTATTGTGCATTGGTCGTATTTAGCCTGTATAAAACAACATGGCGGGTCCATAAGCTGAATACTGAAATTTTCTTATTTCTAACAAATTGGCGGAGTGCATGAAATTGACAAACTGGTTGTAACTTAACTTCATTGTGCATATTACCGCATCTTTCATTGACAAAAAAATGTATTCGTAAGACGCAACTAACAGTATCGGGTGGTCAGGCTCGCTGACTTGGTTGATGAATGTCATCGTATCCCAATAGCGTGGATCGATGCTCATGATGTAAAAAACTGGATTCTCTGGTCCAGATTCGATTATTTACAGACCGCCGTCATATAGCTGGAATACTGCTGAGTGCGGCGCTTAACAACAAATAAACAAGGCAGCAGAATCAAAGACATAGATTCCAGACTGGTCTGCAATGTTTCCGTGGAAACCGGAGTCATCCCCTTCCGACTGTGTATTCCGCAATATGTGACACAAGGCTTCCCGGTGATATATCCAAATAACCCCATCCTCGATTATCCAGTGTAATATACCCCTGTCATCGGGTGCATCGCTAGATGCCGTGAACCCAACCGCTATGAAAGGTACGCCTGGAGCCCGATTCGAATGGTATGATGCTGAAACAACCGTCCAATCTAAGAACATTCATGAGCGAGATACAATCTGTAAAAAGTTAGAGTAGATAAGACATGAGTCCAGGGTATTTATCCAACTTGAATAATACACTGGAGAATCGCGGATGAAGGATTTCCGACATAGGGTTCTTGTAAATTCCACAGGTATATTTCATGTCCAATTCAAATGTCTTGAAAACTATGAATACACAATGCCATTTAGAAAGTGGTCAAATGTAACAAATGTTATATTTGAGATAACACTTTCTTAGTAAAGTACAGATTCTAGTACTTTTTTGGGTTGAGTCCCGTCCGGTATTTGAACCCTCACCTGACAGGGTGCACCTAATCGCCAGCACACAAAGTCAGCGATCTAAGTGTGCTGGCGATTAGGTGCCTCACCCTGGCAGGTGTGGGTTCGAATCCCGGACGGGGCTCAACCCAAAAAAGTACTAGAATACTTTACTAAGAAAGTGTTATCCCAAATATAACATTTGTTAGTCTTGAAAATTAGCCGACAAGATGGGATATTTTACTGGCGCTTCGGGTTTACCTGGAAACATAATAGATAACATTGACTGCTGTACTCTGTTTCAGGAGACGCATCCCCATCAGTCCTCTGAACGAACCCAGCTCGTGCAATCTGCACGTGCCATGACGACTAGTGACGTCATGACTGGAAACTCTCTGTGACAGTGCAATGGTAAATGGATGTGATGCCCAAGTCGACCGACTGCCAGGCACCGTGCTTCACACATCGACAAAAAACATTACCCCTACATATTAACGGAACTATATTGTGTATGCTTGAACCATGAGAAACCTTTGTCTTGCGATAACCGTGGCAAGCTGCACGCTTCAGTGTCAGCAAATTGCCTTATCACTCCTATTGTATCAATACGCCACTGGAAACTATAAGGCCCCTAAGCCCACTAGACCGTCATAATTGAAGTCTGAACGCTCGATGTATCGTGTAGCTTATATTGAATATGTGGCTGTGGAATGAGTTTATTGCCAACTCCAGGCCATTCTGTTCTGGACAGACTCCGGCCAGAGGCTGTGAGATGATGAGTTACATGTGGTGGTACTGAGCTGAAACCATCGCAAGGCCGTCGCGACCTGACTGCGTTCTCAACACACAGCTTTCTATACATTGTCTTTCATGATTCGAATTACCTATAATCATACTTAACAGTTTTGTTGTTTTTTTGTTGAACGCCGCACTCAGCACTAGTCCAGCTATATGACGGCGGTCTGTAAACAATCGAATCTGAACCAGACAATCCAGTGATTGTCATTATGAGCATCGATCCACGCAATTGGGATACGATGACATGCATCAACCAAGTAAGAGAGCCTGACCACCCAATCCCGTTAGTTGCCTCTTACGACAAGCATGGGTTTCTTATTGTATAGATTTGATGTAATCGTCTACCTGTGCAGTAATTGATATAATCTACCTGTGCAGTACATTATATAGTCTACCTGTACAGTAACTGATGTAGCCTACCTGCACAGTAATTGATATAATCTACCTGTGCAATAACTGATGTCGCCTACCTGTACAGTAACTGATATAGTCTACCTGTACATTTACTGATGTAGTCTACCTGTACAGTAACTGATTTAGTCTACCTGTGCAGTAACTGATATAATCTACCTGTGCAGTAACTGATATAGTCTACCTGTACAGTAACTGATGTAGTCTACCTGTACAGTAACTGATTAAGTCTACCTGAACAGTAACTGATATTGTCTACCTGTACAGTAACTGATGTAGTCTCCCTGTGCAGTAACTGATGTAGTCTACCTGTACAGTAACTGATGTCGTCTACCTGTACAGTAACAGATATATTCTACCTGTACAGTAACTGATGTCGTCTACCTGTACAGTAACTGATGTCGTCTACCTGTACAGTAACTGATGTATTCTACCTGTACAGTAACTGATGTAGTCTCCCTGTACAGTAACTGATGTAGTCTACCTGTGCAGTAACTGATATTGTCTACCTGTGCAGTAACTGACATAGTCTACCTGTAAAGTAACTGAAATAGCCTACCTGTAGAGTAACTGACATAGTCTACCTGTACACTAACTGATATTGTCTACCCGTGCAGTAACTGATATTGTCTACCTGTACAGTAACTGATGTATTCTACCTGTGCAGTAAATGATGTAGTCTACCTGTACAGTAACTGATGTAGTCTACCTGTACAGTAACTGATGAAGTCTACCTGTACAGCAACGGATGTCGTCAACCTGTACTGTAACTGATGTAGTCTACCTGTACAGTAACTAATGAAGTCTACCTGTACAGTAACTAATAAAGTCTACCTGTTCAGTAACTGATATAGTCTACCTGTACTGTAACTGTGTAATCTACCTGTACAGTAACTGATATAGTCTACCTGTACAGCAACGGATGTCGTCAACCTGTACAGTAACTGATATAGTCTACCTGTACAGTAACTGATGTAGTCTACCTGTACAGTAACTGATGTAGTCTACCTGTACAGTAACTGATGTAGTCTACCTGTGCAGTAACTGATATAGTCTACCTGTACAGTAACTGATGTAGTCTACCTGTACTGTAACTGATGTAGTCTACCTGTACAGTAACTGATGTAGTCTACCTTACAGTAACTGATGTAGTCTACCTGTACTGTAACTGATGTAGTCTACCTGTACAGTAACTGATGTAGTCTACCTGTACTGTAACTGATGTAGTCTACCTGTACAGTAACTGATGTAGTCTACCTGTACAGTAACTGATGTAGTCTACCTGTACAGTAACTGATGTAGTCTACCTGTACAGTAACTGATGTAGTCTACCTGTGCAGTAACTGATATAGTCTACCTGTACAGTAACTGATGTAGTCTACCTGTACTGTAACTGATGTAGTCTACCTGTGCAGTAACTGATATAGTCTACCTGTACAGTAACTGATGTAGTCTACCTGTACTGTAACTGATGTAGTCTACCTGTACAGTAACTGATGTAGTCTACCTGTGCAGTAACTGATATAGTCTACCTGTACAGTAACTGATGTAGTCTACCTTACAGTAACTGATGTAGTCTACCTGTACAGTAACTGATGTAGTCTACCTGTACAGTAACTGATATAGTCTACCTGTACAGTAACTGATGTAGTCTACCTGTACAGTAACTGATGTAGTCTACCTGTACAGTAACTGATATAGTCTACCTGTACAGCAACGGATGTCGTCAACCTGTACTGTAACTGATGTAGTCTACCTGTACAGTAACTGATGTAGTCTACCTGTACAGTAACTGATGTAGTCTACCTGTGCAGTAACTGATATAGTCTACCTGTACAGTAACTGATATAGTCTACCTGTACTGTAACTGATGTAGTCTACCTGTACAGTAACTGATGTAGTCTACCTGTACAGTAACTGATGTCGTCTACCTGTACAGTAACTGATGTAGTCTACCTGTACAGTAACTGATATAGTCTACCTGTACAGCAACGGATGTCGTCAACCTGTACTGTAACTGATGTAGTCTACCTGTACTGTAACTGATATAGTCTACCTGTACAGTAACTGATGGAGTCTACCTGTACTGTAACTGATGTAGTCTACCTGTACAGTAACTGATGGAGTCTACCTGTACTGTAACTGATGTCGTCTACCTGTACAGTAACTGATATAGTCTACCTGTACAGTAACTGATGTAGTCTACCTGTACTGTAACTGATATAGTCTACCTGTACAGTAATTGATGTAGTCTACCTGTACAGTAACTGATGTAGTCTACCTGTACTGTAACTGATGTAGTGTACCTGTACTGTAACTGATGTAGTCTACCTGTACAGTAACTGATATAGTCTACCTGTACAGTAACTGATAGAGTCTACCTGTACTGTAACTGATGTCGTCTACCTGTACAGTAACTGATATAGTCTACCTGTACAGTAACTGATGTAGTCTACCTGTACTGTAACTGATGTAGTCTACCTGTACTGTAACTGATGTAGTCTACCTGTACTGTAACTGATGTAGTCTACCTGTACAGTAACTGATGTAGTCTACCTTACAGTAACTGATATAGTCTACCTGTACAGTAACTGATGTAGTCTACCTGTACAGTAACTGATGTAGTCTACCTGTACAGCAACGGATGTCGTCAACCTGTACTGTAACTGATGTAGTCTACCTGTACTGTAACTGATATAGTCTACCTGTACAGTAACTGATGTAGTCTACCTGTACTGTAACTGATGTAGTCTACCTGTACTGTAACTGATGTAGTCTACCTGTACAGTAACTGATGTAGTCTACCTGTACAGCAACGGATGTCGTCAACCTGTACTGTAACTGATGTAGTCTACCTGTACTGTAACTGATATAGTCTACCTGTACAGTAACTGATGGAGTCTACCTGTACAGTAAATGATGTAGTCTACCTGTACAGTAATTGTTATTGTCTACCAGTGCAGTAACTGACATAGTCTACCTGTGCAGTAACTGACATAGTCTACCTGTGCAGTAACTGACATAGTCTACCTGTGCAGTAACTGACATAGTCTACCTTACGGTAACTGATATAGTCTACCTGTACAGTAACTGATAAAGTCTACCTATACAGTAACTGATGTAGTCTCCCTGTACAGTAACTGATGTAGTCTCCCTGTACAGTAACTGATATAGTCTACCTGTACAGTAACTGATATAGTCTACCTGTACAGTAACTGATAAAGTCTACCTATACAGTAACTGATGTAGTCTCCCTGTACAGTAGCTGATGTAGTCTCCCTGTACAGTAACTGATATTGTCTACCTTTACAGTAACTGATAAAGTCTACTTGCACAGTACCTGATATTGTATACCTGTACAGTAACTGATATTGTCTACCTGTGCAGTAACTGACATAGTCTACCTGTACAATAACTGATATAGTCTACCTGTACAGTAACTGATATAGTCTACCTGTGCAGTACCTGATATTGTATACCTGTACAGTAACTGATATTGTCTACCTGTGCAGTAACTGACATAGTCTACCTGTACATTAACTGATATAGCATACCTGTAGAGTAACTGATATTGTCTACCTGTATAGTAACCGATGTAATCTACCTGTACAGTAACTGATATAGTCTACCTGTACAGTAACTGATGTAGTCTACCTGTACTGTAACTGATGTAGTCTACCTGTACAGTAACTGATGTAGTCTACCTTACAGTAACTGATGTAGTCTACCTGTACTGTAACTGATGTAGTCTACCTGTACAGTAACTGATGTAGTCTACCTGTACTGTAACTGATGTAGTCTACCTGTACAGTAACTGATGTAGTCTACCTGTACAGTAACTGATGTAGTCTACCTGTACAGTAACTGATGTAGTCTACCTGTACAGTAACTGATGTAGTCTACCTGTGCAGTAACTGATATAGTCTACCTGTACAGTAACTGATGTAGTCTACCTGTACTGTAACTGATGTAGTCTACCTGTGCAGTAACTGATATAGTCTACCTGTACAGTAACTGATGTAGTCTACCTGTACTGTAACTGATGTAGTCTACCTGTACAGTAACTGATGTAGTCTACCTGTGCAGTAACTGATATAGTCTACCTGTACAGTAACTGATGTAGTCTACCTTACAGTAACTGATGTAGTCTACCTGTACAGTAACTGATGTAGTCTACCTGTACAGTAACTGATATAGTCTACCTGTACAGTAACTGATGTAGTCTACCTGTACAGTAACTGATGTAGTCTACCTGTACAGTAACTGATATAGTCTACCTGTACAGCAACGGATGTCGTCAACCTGTACTGTAACTGATGTAGTCTACCTGTACAGTAACTGATGTAGTCTACCTGTACAGTAACTGATGTAGTCTACCTGTGCAGTAACTGATATAGTCTACCTGTACAGTAACTGATGTAGTCTACCTGTACTGTAACTGATGTAGTCTACCTGTACAGTAACTGATGTAGTCTACCTGTACAGTAACTGATGTCGTCTACCTGTACAGTAACTGATGTAGTCTACCTGTACAGTAACTGATATAGTCTACCTGTACAGCAACGGATGTCGTCAACCTGTACTGTAACTGATGTAGTCTACCTGTACTGTAACTGATATAGTCTACCTGTACAGTAACTGATGGAGTCTACCTGTACTGTAACTGATGTAGTCTACCTGTACAGTAACTGATGGAGTCTACCTGTACTGTAACTGATGTCGTCTACCTGTACAGTAACTGATATAGTCTACCTGTACAGTAACTGATGTAGTCTACCTGTACTGTAACTGATATAGTCTACCTGTACAGTAATTGATGTAGTCTACCTGTACAGTAACTGATGTAGTCTACCTGTACTGTAACTGATGTAGTGTACCTGTACTGTAACTGATGTAGTCTACCTGTACAGTAACTGATATAGTCTACCTGTACAGTAACTGATAGAGTCTACCTGTACTGTAACTGATGTCGTCTACCTGTACAGTAACTGATATAGTCTACCTGTACAGTAACTGATGTAGTCTACCTGTACTGTAACTGATGTAGTCTACCTGTACTGTAACTGATGTAGTCTACCTGTACTGTAACTGATGTAGTCTACCTGTACAGTAACTGATGTAGTCTACCTTACAGTAACTGATATAGTCTACCTGTACAGTAACTGATGTAGTCTACCTGTACAGTAACTGATGTAGTCTACCTGTACAGCAACGGATGTCGTCAACCTGTACTGTAACTGATGTAGTCTACCTGTACTGTAACTGATATAGTCTACCTGTACAGTAACTGATGTAGTCTACCTGTACTGTAACTGATGTAGTCTACCTGTACTGTAACTGATGTAGTCTACCTGTACAGTAACTGATGTAGTCTACCTGTACAGCAACGGATGTCGTCAACCTGTACTGTAACTGATGTAGTCTACCTGTACTGTAACTGATATAGTCTACCTGTACAGTAACTGATGGAGTCTACCTGTACAGTAAATGATGTAGTCTACCTGTACAGTAATTGTTATTGTCTACCAGTGCAGTAACTGACATAGTCTACCTGTGCAGTAACTGACATAGTCTACCTGTGCAGTAACTGACATAGTCTACCTGTGCAGTAACTGACATAGTCTACCTTACGGTAACTGATATAGTCTACCTGTACAGTAACTGATAAAGTCTACCTATACAGTAACTGATGTAGTCTCCCTGTACAGTAACTGATGTAGTCTCCCTGTACAGTAACTGATATAGTCTACCTGTACAGTAACTGATATAGTCTACCTGTACAGTAACTGATAAAGTCTACCTATACAGTAACTGATGTAGTCTCCCTGTACAGTAGCTGATGTAGTCTCCCTGTACAGTAACTGATATTGTCTACCTTTACAGTAACTGATAAAGTCTACTTGCACAGTACCTGATATTGTATACCTGTACAGTAACTGATATTGTCTACCTGTGCAGTAACTGACATAGTCTACCTGTACAATAACTGATATAGTCTACCTGTACAGTAACTGATATAGTCTACCTGTGCAGTACCTGATATTGTATACCTGTACAGTAACTGATATTGTCTACCTGTGCAGTAACTGACATAGTCTACCTGTACATTAACTGATATAGCATACCTGTAGAGTAACTGATATTGTCTACCTGTATAGTAACCGATGTAATCTA